TTACTGGATCCAATTTGCTAGTATTTTGATCAGGCTTTTGGCGTCTATGTTCATCAAAGATATTGGCCTGTAGTTTTCTTTCTTTGTAGTGTCTTTTTTTGTTTTGGAATTAGAATTATGCTCGCCTTATAAAATGAGTTTGGAAGTCTTCCTTCTTTTTGAATTTTTTGAAATTGTTTGTGGAGAATGGGGGTTAGTTTTTTTTTTTAATGTTCAGTAAAACTCCTCCGTGAAGCCATCTGGGCCTGGACATTTGTTTGCTGGGGAAGTCTTGATTACCTCTTCAATTTCCTTAGTTGTTATTGGTCTGTTCAAATTTTCAATCTCTCCCCAGTCCAGTTTTGGGAGAATATATGTTTCTAGAAATTTGTCCATTTCACTTAGATTGTGAAATTTGTTGCCATATAATTGTTCATAGTAGCTGTTAATGATCTTTTGTATTTCTGTGCTGTAAGTTGTTACATCTCCTCTTTCATTTCTGATTTTGTGCAATTGGGTTCTCTCTCTTTGTTTCTTGGTGAGTCTACTAAGGGTCCATCAATCTTGTTTATCTTTTCAAAAAACCAGCTCTTTGTTTCATTGATCCTTTGAATTGTTTTTTTGGTCTCTATGTCATTTATTTCTGCTCTAATCTTTACTATTTGCTTCCTTTTACTTGCTCTGGGGTTTTCTTTTTGTTTGCTTTCTAATTCTTTAAGTTGTGAGGTTATGCAGTTGATTAGAAATTTTTCTTGTTTCTTGAGGTAGGCCTGTAGTGCTATGAACTTCCCTCTCAGAACTACTTTCGCTGCATCCCATAGATTTTGTGTTGTTGTGTGTTCATTTTCATTGGTTTCCAGGATGTTTTTAATTTCTTCCTTGATCTCGGTAACCCATTCATTGTTTAATAACATGCGATTTAGCCTCCATGTGTTCATATGTCTTTGCATGTTCGTGTTGCAATTGATTTCTAGTTTCATGCCATTGTGATCTGAGAAGATGCTTGAGATGAATTCAATCTTCTTGAACTTGTAGAGATTAAGTTGGTGTCCTGTCATGTGGTCTATCTTTGAGAATGTCCCATGTGCACTTGAGAAGAATGTGAATTCTGTAGTTTTGGAATGTAATTCTCTGTAGATATCCATTAAATCCATTTGGCCTAGTGCTTTATTTAGAGTCTCTGTTTCCTTGCTACTTTTTTGTCTAGAGGATCTATTCAGTGATGTCAACGGGGTGTTGAAGTCCCCTGTTATGATTGTATTGCTGTCAATTTCTCCTTTGAAGTCCTCCAGAAAATTTTAAATATATTTTGGTGCTCCTATATTGGGTACATATATGTTTATCATGGTTATATCTTCCTGTTGTATAGATTCTTTCAATATTATGTAGTGGCTTTCTTTGTCTCTAGTTATGGTCTTACGTTTGAAATCGATTTTATCAGATATGAGTATTGCTACCCCAGCTGTTTTTTGCTTTCCGTTTGCTTGGAAATTTTTTTCCATCCCTTCACTTTCAACCTATGTGAGTCTTTTGTTGAGAGGTGGGTCTCTTGTAAACAACATATAGATGAGTCATGCTTTCTTATCCAATCAGCTACTCTGTGTCTTTTTATGGGAGCATTCAGTCCATTTACATTTAAGGTGATTATTGATATGTACTTATTTATTGCCATTTTTGTTTAGTGTGGTTCTATTTTTCTTCCCATTTCTCCTGATAATTATAGCAGTTCTTTTAACATTTCTTGCAGTGCTGGTTTAGGGCTAATGTATTCCCTTAGCCTTTTTTTGTCTGGGAAGCTTTTTATTTGACCTTCTATTTTGAATTATAGCCTTGCTGGGTAGAGCAACCTTGGATTCAGATCCTTGTTTTTCATGACCATGATTACTTCATGCCATTCCCTTCTGGCCTGTAGTATTTCTTGTGAGAAGTCAGCTGAGAGCCTTATGGGGTTTCCTTTGTAGGTAACCTGTTGCTTATCTCTTGCTGCTTTTAGAATTCTCTCTTTGTCTTTAATTTGTGGCATTTTAATTACTCTGTGTCTTGGTGTGGGCCTGTTTGGGTTCTTCTTACTTGGGACTCTGTGCTTCTTGAACTTGAAAGCATTCTTTCTTCACCAAATTAGGAAAGTTTTCTGTCACTATTTTTTTGAATATATTCTCTATCCCTTGCTCATTTTCTTTTTCTTTGGCGACTCCTATGATGCGAATATTATTATGTTTCCAGTTGTCCCACTGTTCTCTTAGGCTGTCTTCCTGTTTTTTAATTGTTTTTTCCTTTTGGTTTTCTGATTGGTTGATTTTTTCTACCCTGTCTTCTAATTCACTGATCCGGTCCTCAACTTCCTCTACTCTGCTTTTTAAACCTTCCAATGTGTTTTTCATTTCTGATATGTCATTTTTTATTTGTTCTTGATGGTTTTTAATTTCCAGTTCGCTTATTTTCAGCAAGTCTATGTCCTTATGCTGTTGAGCTTCCTCAAGATCATGGCTCTGAATCTAGCTCTGTTAACTTGCCTAACTGCTCCACATTGATATCATCTTTGGTGGAGGTCTTTTGTTCTTTCATTTGCCTTCTGTTTCCGTGTTTCACCATTTTGGCTATCACAGTGGGTTTTTGGAGTCTGCCAGTTTTCCCTGTGGGTATTGGTGTTCTGCTGTTTGTGGCTCCTTCTCCTGGATTTAGAGGAGGGAGGGAGGACCCACATTAAACACCACTGTCAAGTTTTACTTTCCTGGTTAGAGTTGCTAGCCCCGGAATGGTATTGTTATCCTCTAGGTTATTTCCTGGAGGCTAGCCGTTCAGGTTACTTGAAGAGTTTTGAGTTGTTAGTTGATTGAAAAACTCCCTCTGGTGCTCAGAGTAAGGGTATTTCCTGAGGATGGGGCAGATGCTGGTTGTTATTAAGCCTCTATTTGCATTTAAATGGCTCATAAGATGGCGTTGAATCTCCGAGGGAGGGGCTGCTGCCTCTCCCCAGAGCCCTGGGAAGGAGCAATATGGCCACCGTCCTGCATGGCTCCAACTCAACAAATGCTCTGAGCACCCTCCAAATCTGGTGTGTTCCCAGAGAGTTCCAGACCAGTCCACCCTCCCTCTGCCTGAGCTGTGGGTATTGTAGCACTCTGTTCAACCTCTGCTCTGTGGAACCACTTGGAATTTTAACCCCTAGGGTGCTGCTCACAGCTCAGACCACTGCTGTCTGTGGGCTCCCCACCCGTCACTCTCTCTTGCCTCCACAGATCCTACTAGTGTACCTGGTTATATGGTCCTATTCCGCTTCTTTTCTGTTGCTTTTTTCCAAAGATTTGTCTTTATTTTAGTTGTATTTCCCGTTTGGTCCTGGGAGATCATCTGTGTAGCTTCCATTCACTCCACTGACATTTTCCTTACTCACCGATTAATGTCTTTTAATAGTTCCAAAAGTTTTCTTTTTGCAGTCTTTTTATTAACTCCATTTGGAACCCCTTTTGAAGATATATTATGTCTTCTCATTCCCTCTGCCATGACTCCTCTATATTTTGCATTTTATATTCTCTGATTCATATTTCCCCATTTTAATTCTCTGAACCTAATATGGGTAATTTGTTCAGTTTGTTCAGTTCTAATGTTCAGTGTACTACTTTTTACTTCAGTTGTGTCGAATCTACTTTTAAACACATCCCCTGAGCTTTTTTTTTTTCTTAAGTATTATATCAATTGCTTCTAAGTTCTCTGGTTCTTTTTCAAAGCTACTATTTGCGCTTCACATTTCAAAGTTTCTCTTTTTATTTCCTTAATTATATTAAACATTGTTATTTTTATTCTGCTTGAAAATGTCCATATCTGAAAACACTCCAGATCTGTTTTTCTCATCTACTGTTTCTACTGGCCCTTAGCTATGGTGTTGTCCTGTGTGAGTATGTGTGTTTGTTCACCTTATTTTTGTTTTGTTGTAAATATCAGCCACTACATTTCCAGAGCACATTATCTGTGGAACTTCTTTGAAGATGAGATTGAAGTTTCTTTCTCTAGAGAGGAAATGATGTTTCTTAGTTTCCTCCCGTCACAGCTAATGTCAGAACACGTAATTTAAATTCACCATTTAAATTTTGTTCATTCTGTACCCATAATGTGATTGGCACATTCCTCTCTTTTCTATGACTTCAGTGTTGTACTTAATAGTCTTTAATAGACATTTAAAAAATATTTAACCCTGCATTTTAATAATTCAATCAGAAGGGACACACTGGGCATCTAATGTGCATAATGCCAGAACTAGAAATATACTCTTATTTTAGGACTTTATTTTCTCTAATTTTTTTAACTCATGCTGAGTGACCTGTTATTTATAAAATGGCTGTCTTAAATTCAAGGTTAGTTCTCCAAATGCAAGATTTCTGGTTTATAAGGATTCATAGTAACAACACATCTGGGATCCACTGGGTTCTAGCAAAACTATGTGACTTAATCCATTCCCAGAGGTATTTCCCAGACTGCAGGGAGCCATCAGTACCAAAAAGAGTACAACTCGCCAAAGGTTACATTTTCCATTTTTAAGTAGTCCTCAGTTACCTTTAAGCTCTGTCACATAAAAACTGAAGAAGAAAAAACCTAAAAACCAAAAAATTGCAGAAGGAACCCTGAGGCATCTTACCCACAGGAAGTTGCCCATGTCTTCCATTTTCTTGCTTCCTTGTTTCTCATTTTTTAGATTATTTCTCTGACTCTGATTCTTACCATCATCCTTGCTTGGATTTGGTGACCTTGTCACTGAAAGCAAGTTCTTCCTCTTGCTCTAATTCTTTAGCTCCTTTTTATTTTCTCCATGGCAATATGCCTTCCACACACCTTTGCCTATTTTAGACCACATTCCATTTGTTTTTTTCCTAGCTCTTGAGTCATCTCTAGCTACTTCTCATCCTTCTTGAGCACCCAACTTATCTAGATCTATAAGTTACAGTACATAGGATTCAGAAGGGAATGTCTTCCTCCCTTCAGTTAAACATGCATCACAATTCAAGTCATATTGTTGAGAGAGCTACCTGAATTGGTCTTCCATCAGGTGTCAGCACCTCTTCTGAAAGTTCCATCATCTTCAGGGCCATCAGAGCAATGGGTTTAGCATGGCAGAGGCTTTTCCTGTGGAGTCCTGCAGCAACACAGTATGCGTCACCTATTGTTTCCACCTGCAGCAATCAGACAAATTAAATGCAAATATATAATAATGAGCCATAATAGAAATGATTAGTTATCTGCAATCACAAATGTTGCTGAAAAACATGTCAGCAAAACATAGATAAATTAAGCAATCAGACCACTAAGTGTAATCACAGCAGAGTTTGCAAACAGCCTCAGTCTAATACTGACATCTCACTCCATAGCTATTTATCAACATTATTACAATGGATGATCAACGAGACAAAGAACAGCTGAAATATAAAATAATTATCCTCTGGAAAATAGAATTGTTGGTATTTCACCTGGGCAATTTCCAAATAATGACCTTTTTCAAAGCCACCCTCTCTTCTTCCTCAAACCTTAAATATTTGTTATAGTTCAGAGATGAGAAATTACTATGCAAAAATCCATCCATAATCCTAAATTAAAAAGTTAATATGCACTGTGAGCATTTTTCTGTTCTAATTCTCTTGTCAACATTCATTCTGAATGGCCATTGTTTTTATTCAATATTTTAAATATTTATCACAAGTTAAAATCTCCAAATTTCCAAAGTATAGAATATGGCATAAAAATTAAGTACAACTTGTTTTCAGAGAAAAGGTCACTCGTTATCCAAAGTAAATATGAGGGTGAAATCCTCAAGTGTTCCAATATTTTAATTTGAGTAAAGTGACAAAAAAATTTATAAAATGCTCCATTCTAATGTCACCTTTTCTCTGACGTCCTCCATGGCCCTTCTGTTACATCCCAGTATAACAAATCCTTTCTGCTATGCTGTTTCACCACTTTCCATACCACTTTACTAGAGCTTTCATCATACGCTATAATCAGTGTTCATGTAGGTATAATCAATATGTATTCCCTGTTATGATGTGAGCTTTTTAAAAACAAGACCAGACTTCCTGTCAAGATAGAGGCATAGGTAAATGCAGTGCTTGCCTTCTCCCACAACCACATCAAAATTACAACTAAACTATCCTTCAGAACCACCTGAAATTGAGCTGAATGGAAGTCCTACAACTGAGAAGTTAAAAAATCAGCCACATCTAGATTGGTAGGAGGGCAGAGGAGGACAGGCTGGCCCCATACCCATGTGTGGCGGATAAAAATCAGGAGAGACACTTCAGCTGCAAAGATCCTCCTTGAGGAGTGAGGGGTCCCCCTCCCACACTAGGCAGCCATCTCAGGGTTCCAGTGCCAGGAAAAGAAGTCCCATAACTTCTGGCTGGAAAACCAGCAGAAACGGAGACTGAGGCTGCTGAAGTTCAGGCAGTTCCTCTTAAAGGGCCCGTGCATGTACTTACTCAGACCTGCTCCCTCTTAGCTCCAACATGGAATAAAGGCAGCTTGAAAGGCACCAGAGATATATGGGGAAGAACTGAGTTGTTTGGCATAGGGACAAGAACTGGAGAGGCAGCTTTCTCCTGGGCAGATGTGCTGGTGGAGGCTGTTGTTCCTTTGGTGAGCCCTTCCCCCACAAGGCAGGCAGATAGTCACCATATCTGGCACTCCAGCAACCTGGCTCACACTGTTTGTCCAGCTCTGGTGATTCCCCGAGACACTGCCCCACCGAACTTTCAGGCCCACCGAACTTTCAGGCCCACCCAAGCTATTTTCAGTGGCTTTACCATAGGATTGGCCTGTTTTGGCTCTTGCTTCAGATTCTCCTAAATTCTCTGAAACAAGCAGCATCTGGCCCCAGTGAGCCCCATACCTCTCAATAAGTGACTCAGGCTCAGCACTAGAAGCATCCAGCCTTGGTTCACAGCTTGGCTTCGCCTGGGCACCTCCAAGCCCAACACAAAAAGCAGCCTTCGGAAGATTGCTTTGTAGCTTATGCCTGGTGGCCCTGAGTAGAACACAGGCAGTGGTGACCTTGCCTCAGAGCCAGTATATCCAGTGGACAGCTTCAGACCATATCGAAGCACCACCACTCAACCACCTCCACAAGTGACACACTCAAGGAATGGACTCAGGGTACCACTGCCTTGCCGAAGTAAGTCTTTTTCTGTATGGTGGGCCCCTGCACAGCTGATCCTCCTAGGCAGTCATAGGTTGGTGGTTAGTGGGCACAGCCTGTCCTTGCAGTTAATCAGCCTGAGTAAAACCCTCCCATTGATGTGGCAATAGCAACCAAGACTCAATTACAACAGAAGGGTGTAAAGTCCACACAAGGGGTGCACCTTGAGGGCCCAGATGGGTGACGAGGAAGGCTGTGACACTGGGCTCTACAGGATACCTACTGTAACAGGCCACCCTAAAAAGCCTAGGAGACACAGAAACTCTACCTAACACATAGAAACAAACACAGGAAGGCAGCAAAAATGAGGAGACAAAGAAACCTGTCCCAAATGCAAGAACAGAACAAAATTCAGGAAAAGAATGAAATAAAATGGAGATAAGCAATCTAACAGACACAGTTGAAAACACTGCTTATAAGGAAATTCAATGAACTTAGTGAGGGTCTCAAGAGCATAATAAAGGACCAGTAAAAAATGAAGAATGCACTAGCTGAAATCAAGAATAATTTACACAAATTCAATAGTAGAGTAGGTGAAGCCAAGAAGCAAACCATTGATTTGAGATATAAGAAAGTACAAAACACCTAATCAGAACAGCAAAAAGGAAAAAGAATCTAAAAAAATTGGGATAGTATAAGGAGCCTGTGGGACAACATCAAGCATGCCAACATTTGCATCATAGGAGTGCCAGAAGGAGAACAGAGAGGGCAAGAAATTGAAAACCTGTTTGAAAAAATACTAACAGAACTTCCCTAACTTGGTGAAGGAAACAGACATACAAGTCCAGGAAGCATGGAGAGTACCAAACAAGATGAACCCAAAGAGGTCCACACCAAGACACATCATCATCAAAATGCCAAAGGTTAAAGACAAAGAGAGAATCTTAATGGCAGCAAGAGAAAAGCAGTTAGTTAACTACAAAGGAGCTCCTATAAGACTGTCAGCTGATTTCTCAAAAGAAACTTTGCAGACCAGAACAGAGTAGCAAGAGATATTCAAAGTGATAAAAAGCAAGGACCTACAACCAGGATTACTCTATCCTGCTAAGCTATCACTTAGAATCGATGGCCATATAAAGAGTTTCCCAGACAAGAAAAAGCTAAAAGAGTTCATCACCACCAAACCAGTATTATATGAAATGTTGATGGGTCTCTTCTTGAAGAAGATAATAAATATGAACAAAAAATAGCAATAAATACATATCTATCAATAATTGAATCTACAAACAAAATGAGCAAGCAGAACAGAAACAGACACATAGATACAGAAAACTTTGTTGGTTCCCAGATGGGAACTGCAGAGTGCAGGGGCACCAGAGAGGCCTGTGCAATCCAGCAGGGACTGTGCAATCAAGTTACCCACAGGACTTGTGGGGTGCTGCAGCACCAAGGAGGCTTGTGCTATCTACTTACCCCCAGGACCTGCAGGGTGCTGAAACACCAGAGAGGCCTGTGCGACCCAGCAGGAACTGTGTGATCTAGTTACCCTTGGGACCTGTGGGGTGCTGCAGCACAAGAGAAGCATGTGCTACCCAGCAGGGACTGTGCAATCTAGTTGCCCATGGGGCCTGTGGGGTGCTGATGCACCAGAGAGGCCTGTGCGACCCAGCAGGGACTGTGCCATCCAGTTACCCAGGGCAGCTGGATCTCACCAATCTCTCTAGGGCTCAGGATTCCCACTGCTCTTGTGAGCTACTGGACCACACAGACCTTTGTGGAACCCCAGGTTCCGCTGCTGGCAGCTGGGGAGTGCTGCTGCCCCATGGGCCTCAACTCCTGCTAAGCTTCTGTTTTAGTTTTTGGGGATGGGTCTCAGTTGCTGCTCTGTGCTTCTGTTGCCTGGGGATGGATGATTGTTCCCCAGCCTCTGCTGCTTGGGGTATATCTGGACTCTGATCCGGCTGCTACTATGGGGGAAGGTGCTGGGCTCCTGGCTCTGTACGGTTTCTGCGGCCAGCACCTTGGGAGCTCCACTACTGTGCACAGGTCTGTGTTGGCACAGAGTGTCCACTGGTCTGATGGTACCAGGGTGCTGGTGGGCTCAGGTTGCTGGGCCCCCCAGGGAAGACCCAGGATCTTCCAAAATGGTGGGACCTCCCAGAGGTGCAGGGAGAAGTGCCCTGAAGGGCCCCCTAACAAGGTAGCCAGCTGTTCCTGTCCACAGCACAGGGACCTTGACCTTCTACTCCAAGATAAATGTAAAAATTGGCAAAGGATTTTGTGTTTATAGAGGAGAAATGGTAAATGATCACGCAGTAGATGTTTGCTTGCTGAGTGTCTTACCAGAAATCTTTTTTGGAATAAAACATTTGGTAGCTCACATTGCATTGTCTTTCTGTTCTTAACATATGGTTTTATTTCCACTTTTCTGTCATCAGAAAACAGGTCTTGAAGTGAAAATTTTGAACTTCATGATAGGTCTGAGAGTTTTGGAATAATTTTTTATGTGTATTTTCTGAAAAGATTTCGATAAGCGAGTGATAATTTTGGCATTTCTAGTTCCATGAGTTTCTTAAGAATCCTCATCATACTGTCCAAATGAATGGTCACAGAATTCAATGCAGTGCATCTTTTAATACTGTAGTGTTGGAATACCTTCACATGAAATTTAATTACGGATACTACATCTTAACTAATAGAATATCGTATAATTCTTGGTATATTTGATAAAAGCATGTCCGGTCATTTAAAGGCAATTTTTTTTTTCTACACAGATCTACATGGCACCAGAGAGGCCTGTGGGACCCAGCACCCATAACATAGGCATAGAGTCCGGACCCCAAAGGGACTGTGTGATCTAGTTACCTGCAGGACCTGCAATATGCTGGGGCACCAGGAAGGTCTGTGTGACCCAGCATGCACAAGATAGGCATAGAGGATGTGAAAAACAGAGGCGGAAGGAATAGAAGCTACCCAGATGATCTCCCAGGACCAAACGGGAATTACAACTAAAATAAAGACAGATCCTCGGAAAAAAGCATCAGA